TCTCTTAAATTTAATAGAGAATGTTGCTCTAGATTAAGGTGATAAAGTAAAACAAATTACAAATGCATTTGGGTGCAAGTGCACTTGGTATGAAGGCCTTGGGTGAGTCATTTTGGGTTTCATCAAAAGATGACGATTGTAAACTGTGTGGACTAGTTTGAAATTTTTGGGTGTGCAGAACCACCTTTTCATTCTTCTATTCGTAAGATGTCCTTGCAGAGAAATTTTAATCAGAAACTTTCAGAAACATGAAAAAAAACACTTGAAACGTCGTGTGATCATATTTTACTGCTCTCCTTCTTGGGCATGGAGTTTGCTTGACACTAACCATCTGTTTTCTTATGAACAAAACAAAAAAAAAATCATCTATGTTTTGTTTTAAGAAGTCTCAAAGCTTAAATACTCTTGTATTGGAAAGATAATAGTTTTATGATTTTATAAGTGGAAGAGGATTCCATGTTTTATAATTCTGTAGTTTAGACTAACAATATACTTAACTTGTATTTCCAGGTCTCGCTTTTACATTTAGCTGATATCACTGAAAAGGGCGTAACATTTCAGGTGCACTGTTCCCTCTTTTTTTTTTTTTTTTTTTGTGTTAGGAAGTGTCTTGGGTATAAATATGATGCATTAGTACCAGTGGAAGTCTCAACAATGGTGTTTTTTTTAAATTATGTTAGATTCATATCTTGTGTTAGGCATAAAATATTATTTTTTACAATTATATAAAAATAATATAAAAATTATCTTATATGAACAGAAATTATGTAGAAGTAAAAAAAATATTAAGAAAAATGCAAGAAAATTGTCATACAGTGAAATATATGCAGGATTGAATGAGGTGTAGAGAGAAAAAAGTGATGATGAGTTTCTGTAATACAAAATTCCAGATTTTGTAATTAACTAAAAATTAATCAAATAAAAATATTATATACAGAGAATTCAGTGAATTAAGTGATGCGTGATGGAACTCATTCGAAGATAGAGATTGTTGGGTTGTGCTTTGACTAGTGCATGGTTCTTTTTGCATGATAGAGTGCGCGACCCAAAGCCTAGATCATTTTTTCATTTAACCACCACATATATGCACATATATTGGGGCTAGGGTTGAGGGGGAATTAGAAATATCTTGTAGTTGCAAGATTGTGATAGTGAATTCAAATTCTCTTTCTCTTGTGGATGTAGATTATATTAACTGAACACATAAATAATTATATCCTCAATCTATTTATTATTTATTTGATTAATTTTATTCGCTCATAGTGCTTTTATTTGTTGCTTGTGACTAAGTTTATATTTTCTTACTTCAGTCACCGGTAGATGGAAAACCAATGCTTCTAACACCAGAGGAGTCAATCCAAATCCAAGTATGCACTTTACCTTGTTTTGTAGGCTGAAACTTGACTGATAAATGTTTTGTTTACAAAATGATATTTTTTAACAATGCACATGATATTATAATCTTTAGGAGTACCCCTGAACTTTTAAGTGGTAAGATCCTTTCCGGTGCATTGATTTATCATGGTTGTCATTGCTGATGTTGAAACTTCTTAACACTTTAAACTTTTGATACGGAATGCAGAATTAACTAACGTGATCAAAAACTTTGCATATAACATTAATATTAAAAATTATAAAACTTTTAATAAATCCTCTCTATTTGACTTATATTTAACATGTAAATGTCAATCAAGATAATTGAAATAGTTTGAATTCATTAAAAATGCCACAATTATAAACTTGACAAGTTATAAATCAATTCGAAAGAAAATTGATAAAATGCCATAAGGATTTATCTTGATAAGTTGAATTAATTTCCATTCAATGAGAAGATTAGAGAAACCTAACTAGTTGAAAACTAAAACTTTATAATTTTATTATTCTCAAACTTTATTTCTTATAATTGTGAATTGAAAATCTATTTATAGAGTAAGTCATATGCATTAGAAAGAAATAAATATCCTAAATTAATGGTATAAATTATATTAAATTTTATCTTAAATGAGAAAATAATGAAAATTAAGAAAAATTTGAGTAGAATAGATTAGATATGATATTCTTTTTTTAGATAAGAATATTTTGATTAATTGTGAAAAAAGTATGGGAAGTAAATATGATTAATTAAGACTGACTATTAAAAGAGTAAAGAAGTCACACATATCTTTCCTGAACTATGGTATTTAGTTCTTTAAAGAATGAGATTTGATTTTCTATTTTTTAAGATATCACATGATTTATGAATAAGTCTTCCTCTTGCTTGATTTTCTCTTTAAAGAAATTATTTTCCTTATCCTTGCTCACATCATCCCCTCTCTCTTCAAAAACGATTTGTTTTCGAATCGAACACTTTTTATGTCGGAGTTTCACCAATTCTGCTTTCTTTGAGAAAATGTCATCAACTGAAATGTTGCATAAGATCATTGCTAAAATCTGCAAGGAATGTTTAGTAAAAAATAACACTCTCTCACGTATTTCATTTCTTGTGTTTTACTTAATCTCATTTCTTAAAGTTGAATGTGAGAATTGAATTTTCTTGAATCAAGTTTTGTTTATGATACTTTAAGAAATTTTACGGAAAAAAGGTAGTTAAACAATTTTAAAAGTAACAGTTCAAATACACAGATGAAGATAGTGTGTGTTTTATGTATAATGTTAAGTAATTAAGGTGCAATTTGTTACTTAGAGATATAATGGAATAAAAGCACAATGAAAAAAGAAAAAAAACTTAAGAGTGTAAGAAAAATTAATACGAATATGATATTTTTTTATGCGTAAGAAAGGACGCAAGATATGTTTTTTTTTTTCAATGTGAAGAATTAAAAAAATATGTAAGGATAAAATATGTAAGATAGTAAGATTTATCTCGAGTTTAAGTTATGATACCAAATGATGCAAAATTCAAGATCAATCAATGTGATCAGAAATTTACACAATTTCATTTAAGTTATTGAAGAAATTTGATTTTCTGAAAATGCTTCCTACTTAACTTTCTATCAAATATGATAGAAACTAAAATTACTGGAAAATAGAGAATTAAAAGAAGAATGGAAAAAATACCACAAGGAATTTATCTTGATAAGTAGATCTACTCTTGCTTAACAAGAAGGATGAAAACACCTCTTTTAAATAAAACTCACAATATTATTAATTTTTAAGCTTGAATGCTTACAATGAAGATTTGATGATTTATTTATAAAGTAAGTCATGTGAATAAAAAGACAATAAAAATTTTCTAATAAAAATTTTAATTACATAGGAAATTAATTAAAAATAAAGTATAAATTCCTAATTAGGTGCAATTACATAGGAAATTAATTAAAATTAAAGTCTAAATT